CCGGGGGGGGGGGTCAGTTACAGGGGGGGATCTATTCGTAAACTAGCTGCCGTACTGTAGCACGTTCCCTCCTTCAACGAAGGTTTCCATCCACACTCGCTGCGTATATACTCAAGTTCAGCGTTGTGTCTAACATCAACACGTCGACGTCACTCACGGTCCATGCCAGCGACGTGTTGATGAATAAGAGCGCCCAATCGCCAAGGTCGTTTGTCCTTGTCCTGTCGACCTGTCGGCCGGCGCGTAACACATGCGACGCCCGACCGAAAAACGTCACCACTTTGCGCAGTCCCCCCGCCTGGTTGATCCATGTTGGTCCGCGACGACAGACACTGGTCGCGACACAATCGAACCTAGAACAGACGCAGCTCCCAGCGCATCATTGTTCGGGCACCGTGTCGTGTGGAAATATTCGACCCTAACTCTCTCGTAGCCTCGTGGCTTGTTGGGGGGTAGGCGGGTGGCAATGCGGGTCTTCCTGCTGTTCAGCACTACTCTGTACGTATCGTTCCCAACAATGTTCCGACATTACTACCGACTGTAACTCTTCGATCTTCCTCTTATACATATTCGCTACTTTTGTAATTTCAGTCATTAACCACTTAAAACTATGAGACCCTGATTGCGCCACATCGATCGCGTTCCCTCCGTTCCGACTTCTGCATTGTCGTAGTCAATCATCATCATGTGTTGTTGTGGACTGCTGACAGGAGCCGATCCGGGCTATTTGTTGTGTTGGTGAGTCCCTCTGACCGCGACAATAATCAATGCATGATCCGTTAGGATATCCGGAATATAAGAACCGCTAGATGTTCTTTTCCTCATAATTTTGTTTGCTGCATAATGCTCGGGTAGGTAACTGACAAGAGTTTAATGTGAAGACACCAGCAGCAACAACAACAACAACACAAGGGTAGGCGATGCTCCAGGGAAGAAAAACGGGGATAGCCATGTTTCATCTCCCTCTGAGAAACTTGCTCCGGCAGTGAGATCTCAAGCGAACATTGTTAGTAAGGAACCAAGTCGTCTGTCGTTTTTTTTCTCGCACGGCCCCCAAAAAAGTTGTCTTTTGAGTCTTGAGAGTACTTGAGCCATTTGTAGACCTCCATTTTTATTTGTTCGTATATCCTTTGTGTTTGCTGTTGGGTGGTTGCAAAACGCCGGGTCGGCAAAAATAAAACACTTGCAGGATCAAGAACGGGGGGGGGAAATATATATGTAAAAAAAAAAATTGAGCTGGAGACAAAAAGGTGTTTTGAGCTGGGATCGAAGTCGTGACCTATTTTGCGACGTCCTAGCGATGATATTCGCCCGAGGTCCTAACAGATCTTACATTGCTGGTTAGATGGAGTAGATTTGAAACAGGACGTGTGAACCCTTCTCGCATGAAAAAACATGTAGCATGGGCTGCATCAGAAAGCTTGTTGTATGGGTGCACTGTGTGCGGGGGACTGGAGCCAGGGAGGTTGCCCTACTGCTGTAGTTTTTTGTAGATTGAGACCGTGGTGATAAAGTGTTTTCGAAATTGCATCTTCTTGGGAATACTTGGAACTGTGCTGCAACTGTCAATTCGGCGGTGCTTGATGGCTAGTCTACAGAATTCAAACCAAAAACAATGAGATCATGGCAAATGAACATTTCTCGCATCGGTCCATCCCCGTGCTCTCACAACTACCTCTCACACACACGCCCTTTTCTCACCGCTCTCTCTCACCATCTTTCCCAACCCGAACGACTTTTTCATCCTCGCGGTGTTGGTGGGTAAAATATAACGTCAAGTGCAGTTACATGCCACAATGTGATCATCACCCCGCCCATGATATCATCATCCCGCCCCGTGTTGTTTGCTCCTTTAGCTTAGAGCTCTCGCGCCGCCTCCGCTGATTCTGCTCGGTTAGCAATACGCCGTGGGCAATACAACACAGAGAGAGATCACACGTGAGACTCGAGGATTCACACATGCAGGCAGTGAGAAGCCCGCTGTACGCTTCAGTACCCTCTGCGGAAACATATTTTTGTCTCAGTGCATGTTCCCATGTCATTCCGATACCCCAACCTTTATTACCCTTGCCCATAATGCCCTCGGCATTCTGTGGCACTTTCTGTGTTTACCGGACTGAATATGTCTGTTCTTCATTGGTCAGCCGAGTTAGCACTGTCGATGCTTCCCCTGCGATGTACGCAAATGAATAACGTTTGACGTTTCCAACTACATAACTTAGTGGCACCGGATGTATTCCGAAAGAAACCAAAATAAGTGATGACTTGAATCGTAGTTGCGTAAGCCGCCGAAACCGTGTTGCAGTAGTCTATATTTCACCGTATTGTGCATTATTTGTGCTCGTATCTGCATAATAATCAGTTACATGGAGTGATCGATTTTGCTGTCAAAACCGACCCCGAGTTACTACTACAGCAGTACATTGGTTCCGAAATAGCTTACACCCGCCACAAGACATCGACTTAACGGTAGGCTAAGAACTTTCGCTGATATTCTCGGAGAGGAGACAAGGGAAGACGGCGAGCCGGTGCAGAAGAGAAACAGCGCAAATGCTGGCACACACGGAATGGGAACGAATGGATCCCATCCGATCTCTGAATGAATGCATTCCCGTGCTGTATTGTAAACCTAAACCGGAAACTCCTCAACCGATCAAAACTGATGGTGATCACGCCGCCGAGCGGACCCTGAGGTTGATTTATTTTCGAAATTGTTCTACATTGTGCAACAAAAACAGCAGAAATTATTAACGAAAAGAGGGGATGGTCACACATGGTCGCAAACTGCTGGTGTATGTAGAGTAGACGCAGTATGCTACCACATCGGCTTACCGAATGTGCTTTCGTCGTATGCATACATCATGACTCACTGACTTGTTCTAGGCCTCGCGTTGTTGGTATATCACTCAGCAGACACACCACTGACCACGTAGAGATATTTACCCAGAAGGGGGGCAGAACCATGAGTGTCGGCTTTGTCTGAGACTTCGCGCGGAAGTTGACTAATGTTGGCCAGAGGACTCGATGTGCGGTGACATACCGAGGCATACTCGAGGTGTTACGAGACCTTCGCTGTAGTTCGACACCGACTTTTGAGATGCGCACGTTGATCTCTGCAGTGAGTATTTTTTCAAGGAATATGCTTTGTTGTGTACGCGTTTTGAACCTTTTTTGGACCCGCGTGTTACTCCCGAAGAAGCACCGCGGACATCATGATGGCATATCCAGGGCAGGCTCCATCTTTCACGCGGCAGGCAGTGTTTTTCTTCGTGGCGGATCGTAGAACGGATTCCAGAATCAACGAGCAGCCCAGCCGCCACCCCGCCGCCTTCGAGAGGTGCATCGCGAGGGATTGAGGGGTGCCTGTCACTGTAGAAGCATGAAGTCATTTCCCTCAAGGGAAATTCTCCGGTGTACTCCAGATCGTAACTCTTCAGTTCAACCGCAAACAGGGAGGCTTCGTTTGAGGTAGACTCCTCCTCCTGCGAACCACGTGCCCTCTCCCCGTCGACGAACACCTCAACATTCCCCACTGTTCACGCCAACCTCTTCGCCGTCAACCTTCACACAACGGACCTGTGCGAACGAGCGATCGTTTTCAGGTCTCCTTCGTAATCTTTGCTATCGACCTGGCGGCCTGTCGGCGCGTAACGCGTAACGGAGTAACGATCGACGGGAAAAACGTCTCGAGAACCACTGGAAACCCAGTCCCAGTATTCCATTTTGCAGTCCCCCTGGCTCTGGTTGTTGTGGTTGTGGTCGAAACCTGGAATCAAACAGACAGCAGTAGTAGCAGGCAACGTACGCCAGACGCAGCAGCTCGGCACCGCTTTGCTCTGTTCACCATTGTTTGAAATGTCTACCAGCACGCGGATATTAGCCTTTCTGTCCATGGTGGTGATGTTGGTGCCGCTGGCGGATGCTTTTTCCTTGGGCTCTTCGGCGGGGTGGCAAACGTGAGTATCGTCCTTGATCACAAGTACATACTCCTTGGAAAGGATGACACCGATTATGTCAATCTGAATCGAACGAACGTGCGCACCTACAACCCTGGTGAATTCTGTGAAGCGCGCTGTGATGCACGGCGTAAAACCGGGGTGTCGAACAGTAGGTAGACGTTGTTGCTGCCGAGGTAGAAGGCCACGCGATGCAATCCGCAGAGTAGATGAAGTGCGGACTCGGAAAAACATGTGTCATGCGTGTACAAACGATTTGACATTTGGCACCATCTGACGCAGTAGATACGTCATCCGCTGAACAGCCAAATCGCCATCGAGCCAACCGTCACACCAACCGCATTCCCCGCAGAGAGTCTCTTCGTCGGCCCTGTGCTTGCTACCAAGCGTCTATTCCACAAACTTGCCTTGTTTGTTGTGCGACACCAGATATGCGTCGTCGACAGCAGCAACAGCAGTACTGCTGTAGAAAAGTTTAGTCTCTCCGCCTGCTGACAGCTCATCATGCCCTCGCAGCCCCCTCTGGGCGAGCGCGGCGAAACTGAGACTGCTCTTTGTGATGTATGTACGAGCGTTGCGGCACCAGCAAACGATCTGTTCCAGTTGGAAGGAGCCCACCTTGGTTTTTCTACGTACAGCAGTCGGGCTTTGCCCATCTTTTCTGCTCGCGCTCCAGTGTTCCCTCCAACTGTTGTATGAAGTGTACAGCCACAGCTACGACAGCAGCACATACACAACCCAACCGTATGAAGGTGAGATAAGATATCACAACCCCGGGCCTATTGTCGAAGGTCGATTTCTCTACATCAGAAAGAGTGGAGGCGACGAAAATGGGGGTGTTCAAGCCGGCTCGTCGAGAGCTGTCTGAAAACATGTCGTGTCATTTTTGTATCCTCTTCGTCGTGGACTAATCGACATTTGAAGATCAGTCCGGGGGGTGTGGTATCTTGTGTCATATCATATACGGTAGACAGTTAGGCCCCAGCCCCCCAGCCTCCCAGCCTCCCAGCCTCCCAGCCCCCCAGCCCCCCAGCCCCCCAGCCCCCCAGCCCTTCAGCCCCCCAGCCCCCCAGCCCCCCACACCGAATTAATATCCGCGGTTAGCATGCCCTAACTCGGTGGCAAGGGGGCTGTGACCGTGTCGCGCATCCCTTCTGTACCACGCGAACATTGTTACTAGGCCAGTTGTCATGAACGAGCGTTTCTCCGAAGTTCTCGTCCTAGTTTTTCGTCCCATTTGGTATTGTCGCCGCATATGCCTCTCGGCATGTGATTGACGAACCAGCTGGGGTTACACCTGCGAAAGTTCTAACTCTAGATTATGTTTTGGTGTTTTCTACATATTTTGCTTCAACTTTTAACGCTAGAAGCGCACCGCACTTCGTTGGTTTGCTCGCGACTACACGCTCTCCACCTCATTTAATGACTGCGATCGCACATACAGAGAGATTCGAACCCGGATCCAGAGAGCGAAGAAGGTCATGCTTACCAACTGTACCAATCACAGGGCGACCATATCGACTAAGTACAACGTACCCGGCAGCCTGTTGTTCAGCCCTCGTATGGTGAAGTGTGACCGTTTCATGTGCAACAACGTTGGGGAAAACAAATTCGAATTTTTGTTCGACGCTCGGTTGTTCAACCAGGGGGGCGAACGCCTGACGACCCAGCTTTATTGAAAGGAACATTCGATGGTTATTACCCCCAGCGCCGCTGCGTTCGATGCTGGCACGTTTGGTTCCTCGTATTGCTCCGTATGGAGCATCGAAAATCGGTTGGGGTGAATCAGACACTGGGACACGATTTACGTTTGTTTTTCAAGCTGAACAGGATCTGTTCGAGTTCCGAGCGTGGAACCAGTTCTGTCACTGACCAACGGACAACTCTATTTTTTGTTTTTTCAGGGTGGCACTTAGGACCGTTTTAAACGGACCGACTTTTTTGTCAAAATTTTCGACAGTTGTCTTTCAAAAACTTGGAACCTGTGTGCAGTCATTTTAAACGTGTGACGTAGACTTGTGCAACTTGTGTCAAAAAAAATGACGCCGTCCGTGAGTTGTAGCGCTCACTTCGAGACAACACAGACGACACAACACAAACCGCGGAAAACACGACATCATGGACACCGACATGGATATCACGACCACCCAGCGTGGCCGGCAGACCAAAACCCCGGCGAAATTCCAGCAGACGGGCTCTCTCGGTGCCGCCGTAGGCGGTGGAGGCTTGCTCTCCAGCAAGATAGTGCTGCTGCCTGGCATCTCGGGGAACACTCATGTTACCACGGGAGGCGCTGCCGCCACCAACACTCCGCCGGCGAGGGGTGGCAACCACTGCTCCTACCCCCCCGGGAAAAGGAAAAAACAAAGCGGCGGACGCGAAGCAACAACTGCAAGCCATCATGGCGGACCGCCGTTTTTTTTTTTGTATTGCGCGTGCCCGTGGGCGAGGAGAGCCGCTCGAATCTGTAGGCGCGCCGCGCTTTCTACGGTCGGCCATGACCCACACACAACCCTAGCTGACTTTCTACGGTGAGGGGCACTCGTGGTGCAGACGCAGCAGCCCTCGCGTGCCTCTGCAAGGGTACTTTGGAAAGTGCTCCAAATACTTTGAGAGGGTTGTCAAAAAGTTGGAACGAAGTGGAGCAAAGTTTTCGCGCCCAACTTCGTTCCAAATATTTTGAAAAAATATGGACAAACGCCTACATACAGGTTCCATTTTTTTGACACTTTCAAACATTTTGACAAAAAGTCGGTCAGTTTAAAACGGCCCTTACGACACCAAAGTCAATGATAACGGTACGCAAGCCGGAGAAGTACAAGTATGAATGATTCTTGTATTTTCGTTTGTCCGGCGTGTTTACGACAACTGCTTCATTTCACCGAACACATCCACAACCGGTCGTGATGAATTAGCAGGCAGGCAGTTGTGAGACCAGCCACCAGATCTACGAAATCTACGACGACGATGATGATGGCGAAAAAGAACCGGAGAGAACGACGATACGCCGAGGCGAAGAAGAAGAAGTCCTCGGGTTCCAAGCAACAACCCTCGGGGGCTACGTCTAGCGCAAAGTGGCTCCAGGTGCTGCTTATTCTGCCTGTTTTGCTTGCTTGCTTGTTGTTGTTGTTGTTGTTGATGATGATGATGATGATGATCTGTTGATCGCCGCCGCTTCTGCAGTTGGGGCTGTGGTGGTGTTGGTGTTTGTGGTGGTGGTAGTAGTAGTAATTGTCGTTTTTTTTTAGCAGGGTGTACCCGCGATGACTTTGCGCCTCCTGTCAAGTAGGTAAACCATTTCACCGCCACGATCACGACCATCACCATTACCGGGTCATCGCATACCCTTGGGATGAGGAGGAGACAATAAGCATTCATACCCACACCAAACAACGAGCAGACACAATGGCGCCAAGTTTGTTTTATCTCGGCGGTGTTGTCAGCCCGATGCATGATGCTGCGGCCTTTGTGTCCGCCTTTGTTTGTTTTTGTCATGCAGGTTCTCGACAACACGTCCGAGTTGGAGCCCGGCAGTGTGAAGGTAAGGGGCAAGCGGTGATGTGCCTGCTCCCCTCGGCAAATCACTTGGGCGGGAATCGCGCGATGCTTCTTGACACCATCGTCCTCTGTGGGTACATGGTATGGTTTGTCGGACGCTTGGGCGCTACCAGGGAGCAGGAGAGCGATAAGGGGTGACGCCTTATTTAAGAACGAACGGTTTAGGACGCAGGGGATTATTCTCTGTTTTTCGGCCTCCCATGTCGATTCCTTCGCACCTGCCCACCGTTCTTCAATTCATCTCTCTCGTTTTTCGTTCGGGAGGTGCACCGGAATGGAACTCTCTACCAAGCGCCGGCCGCTCGCCACCTCTCATGATCGGGTGACCGTTACATCAACTGACGTGCCGCATTGAAGTTCCTCCCCCCCCCAAACAAAAGTCACACAGACTGGCGCTCTAGCTGACGGCAGATATCTGTTATCTCGTGGGTCTTCGTTCTGCAATGACTGTCCTCGAGGAAAACAGGTTGTGTCAGGAAAATACAAGGGCGAGGACAGGGTGTTTACCCTTGCCGCCTATGGCGGGACATACTACGCGGTCAGCGAAGCCTGCGGCCGCTGCAAGTTTCCGTTGGTAAGAGCGAGAACGCTTGACAGATTTTCCACGGAGCCATGATAAGCCGTATGGCTCCCGTGTTTCATTCTGTTGGAAGTTCAAAATCGAAGTCTTTTTGCGGAAGAAGATCATGTGTTTTTCAGCCCGTTCCGATGTTTCTTCCCGCTGCGCCCATCTTGGAAGCCCGCTGATCGCTATTGGCGTTGCAATTGCTTGCTACGACTGTCGCTGTTTCCGCTGGTCCCTGGGCAGATCAACGGCAAGGTGAAGCTGTTGACGGGGGGGGGCAAGGCGGAGGACCTTAAGCCGGGGGTGGAGCAGGACCCAGAGGCGGAAATTGCAATCGCCTGCCCCTTGTGCGGAGCGATGTTCAACTTGAGAACAGGTGACCCCCCCTTGGTCGGCTATGGTGCTATTTACTGTAGGGGAGTTCTCTTTTTGTTCGTTTCGTCCCATCTTCTATTGCGCCGAGTCTGTTAACCTTTCGGTCTCGACGTGTTTGGCTTGCTAGCCTGGGTTGCACAGGATGAAGGTCACACATGGAGAGGTTTTTCTGTTCTTCTGCCTCACCTTCCTTGTGCGGTGTCTTTGTTTCGATCGCGATGGTAAGGAATTATGAAGTGTGGCCTCCCGGTCGCGTGTGAGTATGGCAAGGCATGGATGACGCGTCTCGTGGAATGTAGGACGCCTTTCCCCTTCCTCTGGTTGGTTACTTGGTAGACCAAACGTACCAGCAAGCATACACATCACGTCTCCGAAACTGCAAATTTAATGGAAAGACTAACGACGGAAACACACCACCGTAACTCAACAGCATCTGATGGTAGTCGGGCCACGCCGCGTAATGCAGCGCACAGCAGTATGCTAGGAGAGCACATGGCGAAGCTGCAATGCTTCCAGATTTTGTGTTTGTTCTTAATCGAGTCCAGCCACGGGCGAAATACTTTCAGTTGGGGGGTGTTGGGTTATCGCCCCACCCCTTCCCCCCCAGTGACCCCCCACCCCCGTGTTTACCAACGGGGTTGGGTTTTCGTCGCTTGGCAGCGATGTTGTAAAACAAGCCAATTCACTTCGTGAGCTCGGCAACAAGGTTACCTATTTTTTTTTTACCTCTGTTTTTTTCTTTGGCGGTAACCATAGTGGGGGTCGAGTAGATCATGTTGTGCGGGGTTGAGAACCGTCACCCCGCGCAAGGGGAATGATCGCACCACGTTGTGTTAAAATGGTCAAGCACCCTCGAGGCAGTTACACAGTGCTTGCAACTGTCTCTAAAAGTGAAGAACCAGAGAGTAAATTAATTCATACGCAGCTGTCATCCGTACGCAAGGAAGTAAGCACAAGATGCCGAACACCCTTA